ACAGACTAAATCAGTGGCTGAAATAAATGTGTTCCTAAGCTTCAGCTTCCAGAATCCATTTGAGCAGCGGTGGGTTTTTTAATGGAAGACAGCGGTCTGGATCGTTGTTAATTTAATTTTGAAGAGATTCGATTTATTTGCAATAATTGAAATTAGAGAGGGGAAACAGCTAGTAACAACTGAAGCATTTAAACCTCCTATTGCTCCATCTCAATCAAACATCAATGCTCCTCATCATCATTGATGAAAAGTGCCCCTGCGTCAAAAGGCTGGAAGTCAATAAAAATCACCCTTGATGCTCAACATGAATGTTTTCATCCAGGTGACTATAATTGAGGCTGAAAAAAAGAAAAGAAAGATTCGTCTCCGAGCATCTGGTCAGGCTGCAATTCTCTCTGGTGCATCGCAGCTCTTCCTGGAACATTGTAATGGAAAAGAAAATTGGGTTGGGGGGGAAAAAAACATTTTAAGATCCTGGGCTAAGCATAAAAAAACTCAATAGAGACTCAGGCATGTTCACACATATCTGATTTGTCCACATTTCTGTGCTCTGTGACTTGATAAATCCCTGCACCGTGCCGGATGTGTGGTGAGCCGTCGTTACAAGCAAAGCCTCAGACAGCTGCTCGCAACACCGCCGAGAGATGGGGAAGTAAATAAGAATGACCAGAATGCATTCTGGCTCACAGGAAGAGATAAAAGAAAAGGAGAAAAAATCAGGAAGTTGAACAAAAATGAACAGTTTGATTTAACCCAGCCCTTATCTTCCACTTCCCACTTCCTTGTAAAAGCATTCTGCATAATTGGCTTACATTTATTTTCTTCCAGCATCATTTGCTCTTTGATCCCCGAGGCCCAACAAGCTCTGGGAGCGGTTAGATCTGCTGAACAAGCTGTGGAACAAAGTTTCGTGTGACCCCCACTGCAGCAGCGCTGATTACAGACCAAGGGAGAGATGCTCAGCGGGGGGGCATATTAAAATCAACTAGCAGGGGAAAATCTGCCCTCGCTCCCAATAAGTGATACAATCTGAATTGAGCGTGGATAATAGTGTGTAAAAAACTCTGTTTGGATGGTGCTTTGATACGCTTACTCAGTTTCAAATGGTCTTTTGGGAAAAATTGAAAAGGGGCTTAAATGTTTGGAGGAGAGGTTTTAAACAGGCTAAGAATTGTTTATTAGTAAGGTTTCTTTATTGTTGTTGCTTTTTAGTTTGGTTTGACTGTTTCTACAACTCTTTAAATGTGGTTCTAATTAACCCGCTGGAGGCAGGCGTTGCAGATTTGCAACGTTAAAACCTACCTACCTGGTTACTCCACATACGTATTTCATGAGCCTTTTTTAACTCTGAAGTACCCCTGAAGGACTTAGTTGTTCGTCCTTTTATCAGAACTTATTTTGAGCCTGAGAGGGTTAATAACAGCCTCTAAGCTTCTGCTTTTATAGTCCAGTGTTTTCCCAAACTCTTTAAATGGTACTTCGCTGAAAAAGCATTATTTAAATCTTATTTCTGCCTTTTACAGACAGCATTTATTATTTGCATTCTTCACAGACCCAGTGGTCCTGATCTCTACACTGGGCACGGGTGTACTTGTGACACTTCACACAGCAAAACTTCCTGAAATGTCAGTTTCAGTTCTTCTGTACCTGGCACTGTGTGGTCCAGTTGGGTAAACATTGCAGTAACCAAATTTACCACATTGTGTCATTTTTACTTCATTTCTATGTAATGCACCTTTACCTTTAAAGCCCATGCTAGATTTTCACCACACCTTTCCAAAAAAAAAATAAAAAAACGGGCAATAATTCCATCACTCTTATAGATGATGAGGTCTATCTTGCAGTAACTTTTCTCTTCATGATGATCAAACCTCAGACTAGGCATGCCCAAACTGCGTAGCCTCCTGTCACAGAGAACAAAACCTTCTTTTCTAAGCCCTGGCCATCATCAACATTTCTTTTTGGGAGGTACTTTCCTCTTAAAAAGTTATGCCTGGATTGCTTCCCAACTTTAGAACATCCCCTGAAAATTCACCAGGGATTCATTCAGTGCTTTGGACACTTCCATGTTTCCTTCATCCCCAAGGAGATCCATAATTCATAGGTGTTTGTCCAGGATGTCACTGCTCCAGTGAGCGGGCATAAAATATTTACCACAGATCATAACAGCTAGACATTGACGTTTGCCTATAGAAAGAGAGTTTGGAGTCTCAGCTTGTGCAGCGAATCCCAAATGAGTCGTGTGACCAAGACTTATTTGAAAATTGATCAGCCTGAAGATGGATCCTAAGCTGGAGCAGCTACTGTATTTTTCACAGCACTTTGAAGTTTGAAGAAAGTGTTTTTTACTTTTTTCAAATGGCATTCCATGTTGTCTCATTGGTCAGGTAAAGGAGGTATTCCAGAAGGGAATTTTTATGGTTTACTCTTGACAGCATATACTTTTAGGTGTATTGTTTCTTTTGACACTTGCTTACCACAAACCAGAATTACTGTGTTTTTGATTGAGTGAACAAGAAAATGACTACAATCAGGTGGATGCAGTGTGCTCTGTTGCTGCTACTGGTTACAAAGATAAAGTTATAATAGATCCAGGGACTTGAGACAAATATCACTAAGATAAAATGCATTGATTTGTTTCTCCTATTAGAGCCAGTCTTTGAAATCTCAAACATCCTGAATGAAATATGACGTTTAATAACTACCAATGGAATCCATAAAAAGACATCCTACAGATGATGCGTCACCTTCACACAGGGATGATACTTTTTAAAATGGGCATATTTGAACATGAAGCAACAGCTTTGTGATTCAACAGAAGTGAAAACCTGAAAAGGGTTATTTGGCATCTATTTTTATTGTATAGTCCCACATGGATTCATTTCTTGTGGCTTCAACTTCAGCATTATATTCTGATATTTAATTATTCAATGTTTTAGTTTTGTTTTTCATGGAGAACCACATAGAGTATGTCCAAGTGCAGCTCAGGGGCCATTTGTGGCCTCAGAGGGATTCTACATGGCCCTGTTTTTATTTCTAGAATGGTAGTTTTGTTCCAGCAGGAAGTTAGTGTCAAATGGCATCAACATTTTCATGTCTATATTTATTTATTTATTTATTTATTTATTTATTTATTTATTTATTTATTTATTTATTTATTTATTATTCACTTAAGACCATTCAAACAAATTTAAATCAAATACAAAATAAAAATGTCTTATTTAGAGGACTTAGAGATTCCTCTTTGGTCCTTGAAGGGGAATAGGGAGAAGCTTTCATTGCCCTGTCCCTCAACATCTTTCCATTTCCAACATCCAAATAAACATTTCTACACATACATCATGAACAAAAAGCACTTTAAATTGAGAAAGAAATGAAGAAATACCAACAACAACCCCCCCCCCCCCCCCCACCCACCACCACCCCCCACCACCACCACCACCACCAAACACACACACACACACACACACCACAAGGAGGATTAACTGGACTAGATTGGCCCTTGACTTAAACATTTTAAACACCCCTGATGTAGAGCTTCCCTTACTGATGCTGTTTTTCATTTAATTTCATTAATAAACACTGTTATAAACATTATTTATAAATGCTGTCAGCTACTTTAATATTAGAGCTGCTGTTTATAAATCCTTTTTGAAACTTGACCTGTTCATAACGTTGTATACAAGTACAAATCAGAGGTCAGTAAAGACCACAGCTATTTGCTGTTGTTTAAAACTGTGTTTATAAAATTGCCTGATTTAAAACAAGAATAAACATTAATTCTGTGATCTGTGAAAATAAGCTGTCTGAATACGACAGAAGATGGACTGACCATTTACCAAAAGAGAGACCTAATGATCTGGATTTTTGTGTGTTTTTAAGTAAAAAAACAAAAACAAAAAACATAGTTTGCACCAATTCTCCTCTAGTGCTGGAACGTCTTTGGTGTAAAAACTCAAACACTTGAATGTGACATATTGCAGAGAGCCGAGGAGATGCAGGGATCAGGACATGGAAGGATACGACGAGAGGAATAGATCTGTGACAAGGAAGGCGTCCAGCTGAAACACGTTATCAGGCTGTTGAATGGACACAGATAATAAAAAATATTGATTATAAACACAGTCTGAGGCTGTGGCATCAAAGGAAGAAACTCAAAGAAAATGCTTAAAAAAGACAAAAGGAAACTTGTTTTAGGATCCTTAGGAAAGCTGCAGGAAACTGGATCAGTGTTTATTCATTCAGGCGTTATTTCCGATATTGAAGGTGGTTGGCTGCTAAAATGCAGGTCACAGCAAGCAGTGGGGCACAAATAGCCTATTAATTGCTCAAGCTTATTATGCAAGAACATCATATTTGAGAAAAGAGAGGTTGTCAATATTTCTTCTCTGCTCGTTCAGCACTTACACAATGTTTACACATTGTAAATCAATCGACTTAACGCTGCTTGAACAGTGTAATTAAAATGGTAAAATGTTTGATGTTCTTTTCAGAGGTGGGATCAAGAGTGGACCTGAATAAACTACAAATATATCTAACCCGTTCATGGACGTCATTTTGGGGGGGGACAGGGGGCACATGTCCCCCCCCACTTTTTCCAAAGTCAAGTTTTGACCCCTGCACTTTTTACCATCCAAAAACAATATTACGCTATATTAAATTGACACTGGTTGAGCTCTAGGACCAAGCGGAAAACAACAGTTTGTGTTGAAGCCTGTTTCCCATTAGAACATACCGTAAAGATACCCATACCCCCCCCCCCCCCCCCCCCCCTGTGTCCCCCCCACTTCTTAAGTGAAAATTACGTCCTTGAACCCGTTATTCCCTACATCTTCTGAGTGCCTTTTTAGGAAATGTTTTATGATAGTTGTAATTTTAGGGGGGATTTAACTTTTTTATTTCAGTGAATTTATCTAATTTCTTTTCACCTGATGAAAAAAAGCATTTAAAGAAATGTTCTATGTAATACATCTACCTTTTTGATGTTTTTCCTGCTTCAGTGCGATTACTTTGGACAACACGCTGGTCATCTTGTCTACGGTGGCACCAGATGCAGGACGCTACTACGTACAGGCGGTAAACGATAAGAATGGGGAGAACAAGACCAGCCAGCCAATCACCCTGTCTGTCGAGAGTAAGTTATCAATTTCATACACAGATTACAGTCATGGGAATCTGTATGTGAGTCATTGGGATCTATAAAAATAATACAAATGTGTGATTTATGCAATCATGGTTTCAATCTAAGAAGTCATTTAACCTTTAAACCAGAGGAGGGCCGATATCCAGCAGGTTTTGTGGTTTCTCTTCTCCAACACACGTGATTCGGAGGTTGAGTCACCTGTGCAGCAGCTCTTGAAGCTCTGCAAAGGCTGCTAATCACCTTCTGATTGATATCAGGTTCTCTGAAGCAAAGTTAAAACTAAAACCTGCTGGATACCAGACCCCCAGAACCAGGATTGGCACCCCTGCTCTATGCACTTACCCAAAAATTCCACTATCTCCGCTCCGCTCCGCCCCCGCTTTCCACTGCCGCTCGCTTCCGAACTCAAATTATACTATACCCGCTCTACAACGGCTCTGCTCCGGTGCGGAGACCTGAGGTGAGCAAACAGGCATGCGTGGGATTTTCGAGATCTTGCGATACAGTCCGAGCAATAAATGCGGAAGTTAGATCCAAACACCCGTCGTGTGGGAGATGATCGAAATGAACTGTTTAATCTGCCCATCATTTGTGTTGAGAGATCAGCAGTGTTTGGATCAACAAAGTGTGACTACTCTGATAGTGGAAACTGTATTTATGGCTTATTTTTGTGCAGTTAAAGTTAAGCCGCCATTGATAGTTGTTAAAAGTTGTTAAACCTGTGCATATGAAACAAAAAACGCTTTTTGTTTATCGATTTATTGTGAAATAACGGAAGTTGTGTTTGCTCCCTTTCCTGTTCGGCGGTTGTGATTTCTGTCCATTGACCGCGGAGGTGCTCTGGCAAAAATAGAATCAATCCTATTTTTGCTGGATGGCGGAACGGCGGGCGGCACACTGCGCCGCAGGGCCGCAGTAGTGGAACAGCTCTGATTGACTACAACGGGACCGTTTTTGCTGCGGAGTTCGTGCCGGCGTGGAGCGGAGATAGTGGAATTGTGGGGTTAGAGATGACATGATCAATTACTTATGTGACTCAAGACAAAGTCCAACTATCAGAATTTGTTCATAAAACCCAGCCCTTTTGGTTTCACAAACGATAATAGGTTGATGAACAGTCCTGTTATTTGTTGAGGGCAGTAGTAGCAGGTGGTCCAGTAATCGGAAGGTTGCAAGTTGCAAGTTTGTTCCTGGCTCTGACCAGAGGACGCTACTGTTGTGTCCTTGGGCAAGATGTTTAACCCTCCCTGCCTGCTGGTGGTTAGGGTTAGGGATGGTGTTTAGCAGACCTCGCCTCTGTCCGTGTGCCCCAGGGCAGCGTGTG